CTTAGATTGTGCTTGTGAATATTTATGAGATTAAAATTGTTTGGAACAGGTCGTGCTGGTATTTGCCCTCCTTGTTCACTGGCCTTTATAGTTTAGCTAAGACAGAGCTGATCCAACAAGATAAAGGAAAATAAAAAAGGTCTGTATTGAACCAATACTTTTGGATACTTCTGAAATTAGCAATACCCGGGTTTCTGAGTACTACTTAGCTTTATACAATAAACAGCAGATGCCCTCTTCACATAAAAAGAAAGGTGTCCAGCAAAATAAGATAAGTAGGTTAATAAAAATGAACTCATAATATTTTGCATTTCTGTACTATAGAAGCTTTCACCTGAGGACCCCAAAGTGCTTTTCAAAGAAGGGATAAACAACCATTTAATAAATACAAGACTAGTCCCCAGAAAAGGATGTCTGAAAAATGTGTCTATCTAGCTATCTAATCATGACAAGGTCATATTTTTTCTATTTGCAATCTGGTTTATGCTCCCAGTTCTAAACAAGAAGAGTGGGCATTATCAGTGTGATAACACAGTCCACCCAAGCCTGCAAGGTGCCAGGTTCCCTCAGCTTACTGGCTATAGGGGGAGAGGAATGCATTCAGCATGTTGCAGGATTGGCACCATCGGGAGCAATATGATTGTATGATGTTTCATCAGAAATAATGTGACTGTTCTTTGCTGCTCTTGGGGACTTTTCTGAAAGCCCAGATATCTGTGTTCAGTATCTATCTTGTACTGCACATTCAGTTACAGTGGAGGATATTCTGCTCTCCGTTGCACTGGTGTAAATTCAGAGCAACTCTCTTGATTTATTTGGAACTATTGCAGATTTAATTGAGTGCAGAATTTAGCCCAGTGTATTTCCCTTGGCTTCCGACAGGCAACGTCTCGTCACTTCTCCCTTTTCAGATGTTAATCATTTAATTAGAAAACAAATCAATTCAATCTGTGAGAAGTAAAGGTTCCTTATATGTTTCCATTCCTTCCCTTTTACTGCTGCAGGCAATCCTGTGTAACAAAGGAGCCATTGATGCCCTCTTTAACTTGATTCCTCCATCTACTGCACTGGGCGCCTGTTTTACCCTTGACCCCAAAGAGGGCATCATTCTGCCAGGTGGACTTCAAGCCATCCAGATCTCCTTCAGTTCCACCATCCTGGGGGAGTTCACAGAGGAGTTTAAATTCAGTGTGAATGGAGCCCCCGAGCCTGTGAACTTAACTATTAGGTAAGCTGGGCTATAATGAGTATTCATTAATAATTGGCATTTCTGTAGCATCTTTCATCTTAGGACAGTTTTGATCCTCAGCACCCCTGTGAGGTAGAGTATGAATCCTCATTTTACAGCTGGAGATACTGAGAAGAGCAGAGATTTGTCCAAGGTCACATCACAAGGAACCAGTGTCAGAGCCAAGACTAGAACCCATGATTCCTTATCCCCTGCTCTAACCATTTAGACTCCATTGTCTCCCGACTGTGTGCAGCATTCATATGATGAAATGTAATGCTCTGTGAGAGGGGAAAAGTTCCTGCAAGCAAGGACCCCAGTCTCCTACATTTTCTGCTCATAACTAAACCAGGAAGTTACTGGTCCTCAATAAACCAGCAATAGCTGGGGCTTCCTTAAAGATCAGGCCAATCAGTATTTTTGATTTCAGAATAATCTGTTTGCATAGACTTCTGCAATATGATAACTCCCTTCTGAGACCATTACCTGGCCTCATGCAGAGAGCTGCAAAAAGGGTACTAGTGCTTTTAGTAGGATTGCTCATTCTGGAGAACTGCTTGAGGGAGGATTGTACAGGAAATAGTCTGGCCAGGGAGAACTGGGGTAGCTCATAAACTCTTAGATTTCTAATAGTTGCAAGGCCTGTTCCGTTGGAAGTGCACAGTGTCCCAGCTGTAGTTCTGCAGGGGTTAGGAGATGGAGGAACTTAAATCCTTAGTCGTCAGGGTAATAACACAGGCTACTGCTCAGACCTTATCTAACGGAGTCATTGTGTCATCTCAAGACTCCTTGGGTGTCAGATAGGCAAGTTTCCAATTCTGGAGCAACCTAAACTTTGGTGGGCTTAATTCACTGGGGAAAGTAACAGATAGTCTGATCCTTCAATGTGCTGAGTGCCTCGGCCCCCATTGAAATAGATGAGGATCATTTGAAGGACTGGACCTGCAGCAAGGGAAACCAGATAACTATACGCAGTGAGGTTCTGGCAGCTGCCAGTGCTGCAGAGTGGGCTCTAGCATGGTCTGTTCTTTTAATATGTTGTTAATGATTCATACGAAAGCACAGCAACATCTCCCGTGCTCTAGTATTGGAAAGGACTGTGGTATTTCCTGTTCTTACCATAGCAAGGGCTGTGGTAATCCATAAACCTCAGCCAAAGAAACATTGATTTATAAGATCATTAATTTTTCAGGTAGCACTAATATAGGGGGAGAGGTGCAGATTCAGAGAAGAATAATCTTCACAGTCTGAATGAATGAGCTCAGTGGTGGAGTATGAAATTTAAGGGCCGATTCTGCTACCCTCTCCAGCCCCTGTAGGCTGCTCTGGTTGTGTAGAGGGGCCTTACATGAGCTACAGGAAGCTGGGGAGCAGGTGGGAATGTTTTGCAGTCACATTTTTCCTCCCCCAAACTGGTTATGGTATGTCTTTGCAAGAGCCGGGAGTGTTTTTGCCTTCTAGCAAGAAATAACACTTGAAAGGTGTACCTAGGATGGAGCTGACAGAGTTGGCATCAAATACTTCCTGTCTTGAGGGACCCATAGTTGCACCTGCTTCCCCTCAGTACATGGCTATGTAACGACAAGCTCTGGTGAAAGGGGTGGTTAAAGTGGGCAGCCATCTCTCGTAAGTGGACTAGGTCATTCATTTGACTTGATGTATGTTTGCTCATATTGCACTTTAACTCAATCACCTACCATCCTGACTTCCTTTGTCTCCAGAATTCTGGAGCATGCTGTTTCCTCCTGCTTCCTAGACTCCCGTTCCTTTCAGTGTGGCTGCTGCCCCTTCATGGTGCTGGAGCAACCCCCTTCAGGGTCAGAAATGACCTTCTAGCTAAATCAAAGCGTCACTCCTTTAAATTAATTCTTTATAATCTGTCTGCTTCCTTAAATAGTCACTCCCTCCTCCATTTTATTTCCCCTCTTTGATCTCTTCTGGTTCACCTCCTATTTTGATAATTGTTCCTTCAGCATCTCATTTAATGGCTACTCATAGACTTTAAGGTCAGAAGGGACCATTATGATCATCTAGTCTGACCTCCTGCACAACGCAGGCCACAGAATCTCAGCCACCCACTCCTGTAACAAACCCCTAATCTATGTCTGCGTTATTGAAGTCCTCAAATCATGGTTTAAAGACCTCAAGGTGCAGAGAATCCTCCAGCAAGTGACCCGTGCCCCACGCTGCAGAGGAAGGCGAAAAACCTCCAGGGCCTCTGCCAATCTGCCCTGGAGGAAAATTCCTTCCTGACCCCAAATATGGCGATCAGCTAAACCTCGAGCATGTGGGCAAGACTCACCAGCCATCACCCAGGAAAGAATTCTCTGTAGTAACTCAGATCCCACCCCATCTAACATCCCATCACAGACCATTGGGCATATTTACCGCTAGTAGTCAAAGACCAATCTCATCATACCATCCCCTCCATAAGCTTATCAAGCTTAGTCTTGAAACCAGATGTGTCTTTTGCCCCCACTACTCCCCTTGGAAGGCTGTCCCAGAACTTCACTCCTCTGATGGTTAGAAACCTTCGTGTAATTTCAAGTCTAAACTTCCTAATGTCCAGTTTATATCCATTTGTTCTTGTGTCCATATTGGTACTGAGCTTAAATAATTCCTCCCCCTCCCTGGTATTTATTCCTCTGATATATTTATAATGAGCAATCATATCTCCCCTCAGCCTTCTTTTGGTTAGGCTAAACAAGCCAAGCTCTTTGAGTCTCCTTTCATAAGACAGGTTTTCCATTCCTCGGATCATCCTAGTAGCCCTTCTCTGTACCTGTTCCAGTTTGAATTCATCCTTCTTAAACATGGGAGACCAGAACTGCACACAATATTCCAGATGAGGTCTCACCAGTGCCTTGTATAATGGTACTAACACCTCCTTATCTTTACTGGAAATACCTTGCCTGATGCATCCCAAGACCGCATTAGCTTTTTTAACAGCCATATCACATTGGCGGCTCATAGTCATCCTGAGATCAACCAATACTCCGAGGTCCTTCTCCTCCTCTGTTACTTCCAACTGATGTGTCCCCAATTTATAACCAAAATTCTTGTTATTAATCCCTAAATGCATGACCTTGCACTTTTCACTATTAAATTTCATCCTATTACTATTACTCCAGTTACAAGGTCATCCAGATCTTCCTGTATGATTTCCTGGTCCTTCTCTGTATTGGCAATACCTCCCAGCTTCGTGTCATCTGCAAACTTTATAAGCACACTCCCATTTTTTGTGCCGAGGTCAGTAATAAAAAGATTAAATAAGATTGGTCCCAAAACCGATCCCTGAGGAACTCCACTAGTAACCTCCTTCCAGCCTGACAATTCACCTTTCAGTATGACCCATTGTAGTCTCCCCTTTAACCAGTTCCTTATGCACCTTTCAATTTTCATATTGATCCCCATCTTTTCCAATGTAGCTAATAATTCCCCGTGTGGAACCGTATCAAATGCCTTACTGAAATCGAGGTAAATTAGATCCACTGCGTTTCCTTTGTCTAAAAAATCTGTTACCTTCTCAAAGAAGGAGATCAGATTGGTTTGGCACGATCAACCTTTTGTAAAACCATGTTGTATTTTGTCCAAATTACCATTGACCTCAATGTCCTTAACTACTTTCTCCTTCAAAAATTTTTTCCAAGACCTTGCATACTACAAATGTCAAACTAACAGGCCTATAGTAACTCGGATCACTTTTTTCCCCTTTCTTAAAAATAGGAACTATGTTAGCAATTCTCCAGTCGTATGGTACAACCCCCGAGTTTACTTATTCATTAAAAATTCTTGCTAATGGGCTAGCAATTTCATGTGCCAGTTCCTTTAATATTCTTGGATGAAGATTATCTGGGCTCCCCGATTTAGTCCCATTAAACTGTTCGAGTTTGGCTTCTACCTCGGATGTGGTAATATCTACCTCCATATCCTCATTGCCATTTGTCATCCTACCATTATCCCTAAGCGCCTCATTAAAGACTGAGGCAAAGTATTTGTTTAGATATTGGGCCATGCCTAGATTATCCTTAACCTCCACTCCATCCTCAGTGTTTAGCGGTCCCACTTCTTCTTTCTTTGTTTTCTTCTTATTTGTATGGCTATAGAACCTTTTACTATTGGTTTTAATTTCCTTTGCAAGGTCCAACTCTACATGGCTTTTGGCCTTTCTCACTTTGTCCCTACATGTTCTGACCTCAATAAGGTAGCTTTCCTTGCTAATCCCTCCCATCTTCCACTCCTTGTAGACTTTCCGCTTTTTCTTAATCACCTCTCTGAGATGCTTGCTCATCCAGCTTGGTCTACCACTCCTGCCTATGAATTTTCCCCCCTTTCTTGGGATGCAGGCTTCTGATAGTTTCTGCAACTTTGACTTGAAGTAATTCCAGGCCTCCTCCGCCTTTAGATCCACAAGTTCTTCAGTCCAATCCACTTCCCTAACTAATTTCCTTAATTCTTTAAAGTTAGCCCTTTTGAAATCAAAAACCTAGTCCCAGATCTATTTTTGTTTATTCTTCCATCTAGTTTGAACTGAATTAGCTCATGATCACTCGAACCAAGGTTGTCCCGTACAACCATTTCTTCTATGAGGTCCTCACTACTCACCAAAACCAAATCTAAAATGGCATCCCCTCTTGTTGGTTCTTCAACTACTTGGTGAAGGAATCCATCAGCTATCGCATCCAGGAAAATCTGAGCCCTATTATTATTACTAGCACTTGTCCTTCAGTCTATATCTGGGAAGTTAAAGTCTCCCATGATCACACAATTCCCATTAGTGTTTACTTCATTAAAAACATTAAAGAGATCTCCATCCATATCCAAATCGGATCCCAGTGGTCTATAGCACACCCCAAGCAGTATCCCAGGGGAGGCTCTAGTAGCTTTCTTTCCCAATGTGATTTTGCCCAGACAGACTCTGTCTTATCCATTCCATCGCTTCTTATTTCTTCACAGACTACCTCATCATTGATATACAATGCTACTCCACCACCTTTGCC